TACGATTGTAATGCCCTCTTGATCATGTGATCAAAGTTCAGTTGCTTTACAACTGGTTCATACTTATGACGATTGCAGTGTTCCGGGATCATATGATCAGCTTTTGTGAGCTTCTAACAAGCAAACTCAAGTGAACCCAGGTTCACTTAACAACCACTTAACAACGTAAGTTAATAACTGTGGCAAGAAAGAGTATAAAATGGGGTGAAACTCATTTAACTAATTTTTGGCTTAGCAACATAAATTTTGGGCTAAATTGTGGTCGTACGTTGAGGACTAGCTATATATCCTTAAGCAATAGGAAATATAGAGAATGAGGGAAATGTTTTGTTCCAATCACAGCATAAACAATTGCATTGTGAAACTTTTACTGAACTGTTTAGCCATCCATAGTTTGAAATTATAAAAACAAAATCTGGACAGGATAAGTAAATCAAAGCTGATGTACCTAGTCTTCACTCTCCATTCCACTTTCCAAATCAATTTATTCCATTGGTGAGCTGGGACACCCCCTTTATCTATTTAGTTGCTGTTTCCTTTAGCTTTCTCCCATTCTCTCTCTTTCCGCCCCACTTTTATCTGGACCACAAATAGCTGTTTGCGCATGGATCAAAACAGCTGTGCTTTAATTCAAGCATAGGACGCCTAGAAACCTTGTACAGTTTAATTTCTGCATGCAACATTTTGTATAACCTTACTAGGAGCTGTGGATTAGAATGATTTTAAAAAATAAATAATCTTCTTTCACAAAGGTTCCACTTCATGTTTGAGGTTATTTACAGCAAAAATGCTTTAGAACAGGCTTGTCAAATTTGATTTCATTGAGAGCTGCATTGACCTGGGGGGGTGGGGTGTGTGGTCAGATCAACACCACTCGTATCAGGGGGCCTGTGTGCCCGAGTGCTCTGCCAGCAAAAACGGGCTCCCGAGCTCCATTTTAGGCTGTGATGGCCTCCTGCAACCCTCTGCCAGCGAAAATAGAGTCGGGAGGGCTGCAGACAGCCCTATTTTTGCTGGGTGAGATCTAAGCACCCCCGGGCCTTGAGTTTGACATCCCTGCTTTAGAAAGTTACCACTCAAGTTAAGATTCTGCATGCAACAAGCTAATCTTAAATTCTTTGAAAATGTACCTGTCACTTGGTGGTGTTGCGCATAAGAATCAAGCTCAGAGTCATTAGAGCCATTTCCATTTTCTGAGTCAGACCAAGGATTTACTGTCATTGCTTTTTTTATTGGCTTATTGGACTGTGTCTTGACACCTGAAATTTAGCAGACTTGTTGGACCACTTATAACACAGGCCACAGAAAACATAAACTCGCAGGGAAATTTGATTCCTGCTAAAAAAAATTTTTTACCTGACTCCATTTTCAGTCTCTTCATCAATCTTTGTTTAAGATTCGTTGGTTCCTTGGTGGTCCCTGGGAGATCTTGATTCTCATCAAGCTCAATTTTTTCAGTCTATAGATCAGCAAATGTGAAAGAGAGTTTATCATTACTGGGGATAGGTGAAAGAAAGTTATGAAACTAGTGAAGAAAACTGAATACATATACCCCTCCCAAGACTGTTTACCTTGATTTTTCTTTTTAATTTCTTCTCTGCCTCCAATTTCATCTCTTTGGTTATTCGAGGGATAACTCTCCTCCCTTGGGGAGAAGGGAGGATTTCCTGAAGCTGAAGGGTTTTTGCTTTTGCTTTCCCTCCTTTCCCTTTGCTGGGTTTGCCTGGGATTCCTAACATCTCATCCTGTTTTTCTTTTGCTTCTAACACCTAAAGTGTGGATAATAAAAACAAAAACTAATAGTTTGCAATGTTTGGATTTGCAAGTGTGAAATTTCACCAAAAGAAAATCATCTTATTTGAGGGTTAGGGTATTTCTGCTTTAGCATCAATCTGCAGTTCTACACAAATGGAAGAGAAGAATTCTATATTCAAATCTGAAATAGGTAGCAATCTTTGCATGCATTAATAGAGCTCATGTCACTGGAATTTCAGGGCTATGCGTACATCTGAGCTTTGATCGCTCTGTATGTTTGCTTTAAAACATACCAATAGTCACAACATTTCAGTCCCTCTTTTTAAATGCCAGCACCTTACCCAAATGAAGACACAGAACTATTGATAAGCAATGTTTCACTTAAACTGGAAGTTGACTGTATCTGGCCCCAAAATCCAAGTTTACCCACATCAAGTTCCTGAATGAAAGCAGCCATATCTTCTCTCCATAAGTCAGTAGGATTCCTCTGTTTCAGGTTTTCTAACTCTGTTTCCTAATAAAGCCAGCAAGAAACAGTTAAGTCCATATCTGACCTTTTCAATACTATTGTACAAGTATTTTTTTTTAAAAAAGAACAACTCATCCACCTACTTTATTATCCCGCTGCTTACACATTTCATCCTTTTTTTCTTTTGTTAGGTACCAGAGGGGCATGTTCAGAAGGTAGTTAAAATCTGGTCCACTGGCTGCAGTCGATTCATTTTCTTTATCAGTATCTTCTTCTGCATTTTCATCAATGTCCTGACATGGCAGAAGAGAGATGTGACCAGGGTTAATAGCATAATATAGTACTTAGTACTTAGTACTTGTCCTTTCAAGGGGATCAGGAGATAATCCATTCCTTTCTCACAGTACTTTCCTTTGGGGTACCTACAGTACCTGCTTCAGAAAGCCAGTGTTTGGCATGAAGATCTATTTTCCATTATAAGAGTTTTTTTTCTAAATTATTGACCCAAACCCTTAACAATTGAGTAATTAGAAAGAAGAGAATGAAAACCATACCTTCTGTTGAGATTCTTTCCATGCCTTTACTGGATCAGAATCATAACCCCTTTCAATGAGAACCTGTATTAATTCTTTCTTGGGCTTGTTCTCTAGAGAGGAAGACCACCAAGAACAAGATGAGCCAGCAGCCAAAATAAAGTCTCATATTTAGCACCAAGCTAAGAACATGTCAACTTGCTATGCCACAAACACAAAAGCCACACCAAAATTATGGAATTACTCTTAATGGAAAGCAGAAAAATAAATACCCATATGTTTAGCACTTCAAGCTGTACATTCAGTTTAAATTTTATTGTGTAGATTATTTAAGTTTTTTATTTCTAGAAAAGGAAGCTTAGAGGAAAGATGCCTGTCAGGGGAGATAATTCTTTGTTAGATGTTGGCTTTTATTCTGTCCATTCTAACCCAGAAAGGGAAGCTAGGAACTATTTCCGTAATACTTGTTCTACTTTTAATGGCTTGTAACAAAATCCTAACAGTGCTTACCTATCACTATTTTCCCTTCTATTTTTTCAAGGATGAAGCGAGCTTGGTTGTTTAGTTTTGCAGATTCTGCACCCAGCATGCCAGTGAGCCACTCTTTTCTTAAACCGTAATAACGCAGTCTGACTTGATAGAATTCGTCTAGAATATCCTCTGCAGTCTCATATTTTTTAAGGCAGCCTGCATGGTCAAAAAGTACCTGAAACAAAGAGTAAGGTACCACAGATCTATAGATAGCAGGGCTGTGATCATGCATTTAAAAGCCGGATACAATTCCTTTAATGATTCCATGCAGAACATTACATTACATGGTCTAATCCTACTCACCTCCATTTCTCACTATGGTATTTTGATACTTTAAAGGAATTGTACATGCCTGGTTTCTAAAACAGGCCCTTACTTACAATCAAGTGCAAATCTCTCTCAAAGTGGCAAGAGCAAAAAAGCTTTCAGAATTTGGGGGGGAAAAGTAGCTCTTCCTAATGTAGCAGAAATCACATAAATGGCTAAAAAAAGTAACAAGACAGGCATGGTTAAATCTATTAGGAAAACTGATTTTCTATTTCTCTAGTCTTAACTGAGAATTTGGACTCTTAAGATTTCAGTTAAAAACTAATGACTTGAACATTTTTGTAGAAACCTTGCCACAAAAGGATTCTATTCTGAGACTCCGAGTCTTAGCTGAATGAATGGAAATGGCTCCCAGAAAGCATTATCCTTTGTTCTATAAGTTAGATTTAGGAGTGAACAACAGTTTAGTCAAATAAGTGATTAATAATTGATAATAATGTACACATATATATTAGATTGATAATGTGAGAATTTATACGAATGATAAGTGATGACTACAGAGAGGAAGAACAAAAGATTTGTAACCAACCGACACGCTATATGCATGTAATTTGATGGTTTTGTTTTGTTTTTGTAAGTCTGTCCTAAAAAAGTAAAAGTCGTTTGGAAAAAAAAAGAATTTATTTGTTTAAAAGATGTATATGGTCTGTATATGTGTGATTGTGCATGTAAGAGAGACAGACAGACAGATTCTCTAGGTATGCCTATCTTGCTACGAAAATGGAATTTTCTGAATTTTTACTTACCATATTGCTACAAGAAAGAGGACTTTGCAATTTGAAGACTTTATGTAGACCAATAGCCTCTGCCTCCACTAGTTTCTGTTCACTCATTGTTATGATGAATTTGACAGTGGTGTCCGTGTGGTACTCTTTATAGTCTGTTATGAGTGATGGAGTCTTCTCTGTGCCAGTCAGCATAGGCTCCAGAACCTGTTCTTTGTAAGTCTTTTGATAGATGGGAAGAAACAACATAAAATGATTTTATACTTTCCTTTGATTGGGGAGTTCAGAAACATATTTGTTATTAAGGCTCAGAGAGCATAGTACAAAAACAGAACATGCCTTACCTGTGTCCATGTCCGAACAGGAAGCTCTGAAATTTCAATGGTGGTTGAATTAAGAACAGATATCTCTCCATTGATAAGGAAATGATTTTGTCCTAGTTCATCTATTGTCCCCTTGAAGTTCTTGTAACTAGGAATCTAAAAATAGTAGAAGCTGAATTAAAATAAACCACCCTGAACATGTGTTTTGTTTGCATAATATAATCAGAATCCAAATTGATTAAGATAATTTCAACGAAGGTTCTGAAAATAGGAGTAAGAGGTTGTAGAGAAAAGGTCATAAATGGTTTCATGAAAAGCAGTACAAAAATCTCCAGTATAGAGATAATATTTATTGACTTCATATTGTTTTCTTTTAAAGAAAGTGTCATTTCAAATGCTATATAGGCAATTTTTAAAAGAATTTCAATGGTATGCTTCTAAAGTCCAACTCGTAAAGAAAATCTAATTGTGTCTTTGTCCACACACCTGTGATTTTTTTTCCTCTTCTCTAAAATTACCAGATCATTTTTATTTAATTATTGATGTAATTTATTACCATTCTTAACGGCTCATCTCCATCAAGCATACGTCGAATGTTATTGACCACTTCTCGAATGTCATAATTAGGAACTTTACATGACCAGCCAGTCCCAATGCCTTCAGCACCATTGATCAGCACCATAGGAATGATTGGAATATACCAGTCAGGTTCAACTCGTTGGTTATCATCGTACAGAAATTTCAGCACGTTGTTATCCACTTCTGGGAAAGCCAATCGTGCCAAAGGACTAGGAAAAATAAGAAGCTTAAATTAAAATTGTGTTAAATAATTCTAGAAATAAGGAATAGGGTTATAGGGTCTTCGTTACAAGCGAAGAGAAATAAGGAAGAAAAGAAATAGCCAGAGGATGGCAAGGAAGTGAAGAAATGGCAATAACTTTCTGTAATCTCGACTTCCCTTTTTAAAGCCATAAGAGGGAAAAAAATGTAAAGGAGGGTTGGGGGGAAGGGGAGAACCCAATACCAGGAAAATTCTGCCTCTTGAAAGCCAACCCAGATGTAGTTTCTTCACTACCAGAGACAATGCACATGTTGACCACAGAGAAGAAAAGTTTAGCTTTCCTTTTGGACTCTTTTTTTATCGACAGAGAAGGAAATCTTGCTATATCTCTTTACGGCCCTATCAATGTATAGGTTCAAACACATATTCCCAATAAAGTACAATCATGTGATACAGAAATAATTTTATGTCATTTTATTTTATCATATTTATGTATTAAATTATTGTATTATATCCTATATCCTATAACTATATTTTATTCTACAACTATTGTATATAACCCTTCTCTCATTTCAAATTGTTTGTTTGGAATTTTATTGGCAATGTGTTTGAACCTGTACGTTGATATGGCCTATAGGCTAATCAATACACACACACACAGACACCAATATACATACACGCACACACGAAATTCAAACAAAACTTGGACCTAACGTGTTTTGTCTGTTAGATCCGAAGCTTTTAGATTATGGTTTGTTAAATGAAAAGTTTACTGCAAGTTCACTGCATTTAAATTAATAAACAAAGTAAATCTAAGATCTATAAATCTAAGTACATCTGAAAGATATTTCCATTTCAAGACAGCCTTTCTTGTTGGCTATATAGGAATAGTTCCAATACCATAGGAATACAGTACAAAATTCACTT